CTCAGTTTCCCTGTGCGAACGGAGCGGTTCCGCCCCGCGCAGGCCGGCAGCCTCGCCGCGCCACGGAGCAGCAACGCAGGCTCCGACCTCCGCTGGTTCCCGGGGCGGCCCCAACCGGACCCCCGCCAGGGTCATTGAGCGCGCCCGATCTCAGGCAGAGGGAGACTTGACGGTGGGGCCGTCTGCAGGACCCAGGCTGGGGAGAGGGGAAGGGAAGGAAGAAGACCGACGCCCCCTTATACCGGGTCCGCGCTCCTAAAGAGAAGGCTGATGCCCCATTTATCAGAGATCTGCAGCCCTCAAGAGACGGCCGACCTCCCATCTTTCCCGGGTCTGGGTCTGCCGGGGCCGCGTGGAGGTGATTTATGCGGATAATGGAACGAGCCTCTGGGCGCGTGCGGACTGTCAACCCGGAATTCGGGGTTCCTGGCGCCCGGTCTCCCACGGAGCCAGACTGGGGTGGGGCCCCCGCCCTCGGCTGGGGGCCTCGAGTCTCCAGCCTTGGTGGAGGCGGGCGCCGCGGGCAGGGGCGCCGCGTGGGGTGCTGATAGCCGGGCCCGGCCATGCGCCCCGAGCGCGTTTGGCCCGTTTCGTCTCGCCGGTCGCCGAGGGCGGGGCGGGTCTGACCCGGGCTGCCGCTCCTGCCCAGGACCCGACCTGCACTGCAGGCACCAGGACGGTCGGTGGTTGTCTTACATCATCAAACGTAAACACCTGAATAATAAAAATCATTTCAACCAACACACAAAAGAGCTTCTTTCCTCTTAAAGGTGAAATTTCCCGCGCCGTCACGCCCTGTCATCCCAGCACTTTGGGACGCGGAGATGAGACGAGCGCTTGAGCCAAGGCGTTCAAGACCAGCCTGGGAAGCATGGCGAAACCTTGCCTCTACAATAAGTCAAAAAAATCAGCCAGGAGTGGTGGCTTGTGCCTGTAGTTCCAGCTACTCAGGAGGCTGAGGCGGAAGGCTTGCCAGAACCCAGAAGGTCGAGGCTGCAGAGAGCCCTGTTGGAGTCACTGCACTCCAGCCCGGTTGACAGTGTAAGATCCGGACAAAAAGAAAGAAAACTCATCTTTTAGCCCAATGGACTCTCCCAAATCAGGGGACACAAGGACTTGCAGTAACACCCAACACTCCTCAAACCAGGGACACACCCCTCCCCTCCCCACTCTTCCTCCTGGCCATCTGTGGGCAGGTCCAGCGCCCAGGCCGGGACAGGAGGGCGTTGGGGAGTACAAATCTGGGGGCTTGCTTGCTGGAGTAGCAGCCCTGATAAATCAGTGGGTTTTCAAAGGTATCAGACTGGAG